CAAACTATATGCGTCCGTTCGCCGGGAACCAAAGATGCCCCTCCCGAGATGCACGGAAGATCAGGCCCTGCTGTCATAGCGTCGGGAGCAAGACCATAATAAGCCAGCGGCAGAGAACGGGCAAAAACGGTGAGAACAAAGCTCTCTGCACTCCTCCCGGTGCTGACGTACAATAATCGGAGGCCTCCTGGGTCATGGTATGGAACTAGGCATTACTATATGGTACTACGGAGTATGGTAGATGTAGAGTTTATATCTGGACGCCCAACGGCGTACCCACGGCCCGTACGTGAGCGTGAAAATGCTCTTAGGCTTTTGGGGCATGTACATTGAGAAAAGTGGAAAGACGTCTTTCTCTGGATTAGACGTCAGATCGAACAAAGAAGGAAAAAAGTATGCTGGTTTCTCAGCGCAACCCAGTCAACTTCAGCAAATCATGTTGATGGAAGTAAGCGCGGATGCGTTTGCCATAGAAGTCTACAAATCATTAGCTCGCTGTTTGGTACGGTGTGACAGATGGGCGACTTACACATTGGAATACTCGTGGCACAAACAACAACCTGAATGCTGGCAATGGCCATCATCGTAGGCTTGATACCACCCCCGATGATCCAGTCATAGGCACTGAACGTAAGACCAAAGCTGAAGATGTTCTTGAAAATGATCATGATAGTGAAGCCTTCGATGGCCAAGTCGCGGTAGGCATCGACGATATAGAGAGAGCTGGCCACAGCCCCGATAACCATCCCAGCAACCTCGAAGCCGAAGAATACGAGCGGGATGCTGTAGTGGTATTCCCTAGCTGAAAGCCCAGCAGACGTGACGCCGAACCCGTAGAGACCAATGGAACCGATGATGAACATGGGGAGGACCATAACAATACGAAATTCGGGTTCGTAGATGCCATTGTTGCGACGGGTCAAGAACTTGGCACTCCAATCGGAGAAAGCCCCAGCAATGATGAAACCAACGAGCGCCCCCACGAAAGCTCCGACATATGCATATCCCGCGTAGACCTCATTCCAGTAGTATGGAGGTCCTAGGAAAAGGGCAGCGACAATAACACCAATGAAGACTGTCCAACCGATCATGGTGCCTTGAATCAGACATCCCCACAGAAAGGCGGGCTGGGCGAAGAGCGGGAACGGGCGAAGAAGCAGTTTCCAGTAGTGCTCATCTGTCTTGCGGCCATCAAACAGGGCCAGCGACTGAATGAATGTCTTCTTCGGAGTTTGAGCTCCGGCTCCTCGGACAGCCTCCAAGCCTGATCCATACGGCGCTGACGTAGGGTTCAGCTTCTCGTGGTCGCTGGACCTGCTGCCCGGGCCGTCAACAAAAGACGCCTTGTTGTCAGTGAGCTCGATGGAGTCAGCGACCATATCCGTGTTGAGTGCAGTGTCCCGACGGTAGGCCGTCTCAGGGCAAAGGAAGAAGACGGCAGGGAGGCACACGGCGCAGAAGATGGCCTCCAAGTAAAACGTCCACCACCATCCAATGCTATGAGTGATCTTGCCGACCACAATGGGGGTGAAGAAGGCGCCGCCAAACACTGCCAAGTTCGTAAAGGCCATGCGAGAGCCGCGCTGGTGTACAAAGTACAAGTCACCGACGGCGGCATTTACGAGTGTCTCGAAGGGAGTACAGCCGATACCTTGAACAATGCGCGCACCAAGCAGCGAGTTGTAGCTCGTGCCGACAGAGCCCGCCCACGCAGAAGAGGCAACGAGGATGCATATTCCGAGAATGAACAGATGGCGCTTGCCCCAGACTCGCGCAGAAGGCACAAAGAAGATGGCTGCGGCGCCAACTCCGAGGAGGAAGTATCCGGTCAGAAGTGCGATGCGGGTGAAGCTAGTACGGAACAGGAGAGCAATCGTAACGGTATTCGCCGCGAGAATAGGGCCGAGCGCGGTCGCGAAGATGGCGGTCATGGAGAGAACAAAGGTGATAAGGTCTCGCTTCCAAAGGGGCCAGTTCAGGGGATCGTTGGGGTCATCGGATGGTTGAGGAACCTGATGGGCTTGTTGTTAGCTGGGGTTCACAGACTGCGTCGCAGAAGTCATCCCGCCGGGTGCTCACCAGAATGATGGGCACATCGCCGCTCGCGTCGACTTTCAGTCCGTGGTGAGAATCGGTCGCTGTCTGCGGACGGTTCGGATCATCGAAGTAGCGCGTCGTCCCTGGAGTTTTGACGGTCGTCAGCGATGGGATGACAGGAGGACAATGCGGGCAGGGCGCTGAGAAGAAGCCGCGCGGGGACGCGGGCGGCGAGCGGGCGCGCACGATAACTCACCTGGGACATTGTCCAAAGTCTTGGACTCGAGAATACCGAGACCCATGATGGCAGAGTGTTGGAGGATCCAGATGCTTGTGTGAGCAGCGTGGATGTTGCAGGCTTCACGACATGATAAGGCTGAGGAGAAGTAGAGCCAGGCACAACCGAGTCGATCTGGCGTAAGGCGGTAGTGTAGTCGTAGCAGTCGGGGAGAAGAACCTGGAGAGAGGAACCCGGTGAAGTGACCTCGTCCAAGAAAAAAAGGCTAACCGTTCTAGGTTTCCGTGTCCCTCTCCTCTCCTCATCTCCTTGTCTCCTTCCCCCAGCTATGGTGTGACCTTGAGCATTGGTGTGGAGCCACCCGTGAAGGAGGTACCTTTTCTAGCTTCCCTGGCCGGCACTTTGCTGTTGTCTTCGGCAGCTGCGGGCTTGGGGTTCTGGGTTACGGTGCAGGGGTGCCCAGTCATGCGAGCCCATTTTTTGTGGCTCATTAAACCTTAAAGAAAGAGCTTGTCGGATGCGGTGGATGCAGTTCAAGAGTATCGGCCAGGTCCCCCTACAATTGGACAGGGAAGGGTACGGATAGATGTTTTTAAGGAGTCCATACTTGGCAACATATCAACTGGAAGTAAGAAAACCCTCCGGGCCTTGTCAGCTCTTGACCCAATGCACCGGGCGGGGGATCCTCTCGCCGAAACGGCCGGGCAACGACTTGTTGGCCGGTCCGACCAGGTGGACGTAGTCCCGAAGAGGAAAAGGAAGGGAAGACGCCAAAACGACGAACGAACTAAAGCTTCATCGTCTTGACCAAGTTGGCGTCCAATCTTACGCCGATTTTTTATATGATTACTGATCAGGGTGCACTGACTCTCCTTTGCGCAGAAACTCAAACGCAAATTCGCAGTGCGAATCGAGGAGAGAGAAAGAGCGCAGAGGAAAGCTTCCACTTCAAACCAACCTTGACTACCTCATCTCAACATGTGAAGCAACCATGCTCGCCAGGCTGATCTTTTTCTATAGTTTACCCTTTTTCGCGTCACCAAGACCCCGGAAAAAAAAGAAAAAAAAAAACTTGTCGTCATGTGTACGTATTGCTGCTTTGTCCTCCTCCTCCATCATCTTTTGGACCCACGACCGTGCCCCCGTTGCAAAATAGTAACTGTTAGCACAGTCTTACCAAGACGAGCTTATCTCCGAAGATGTACATCTGTGCAGCCCTTCCAGATCTAAACAAGTATGGAGACCAAACAGCACTTGTGGAGGGGCTGTGTTCGTGAAAGCCAAGCTTTCACTCGTTGCAGGGATAAAGGTCCGATCTAAAAGCCTCCTCAACCGAGCTACTGTACTCGCCACAACTCCCAAAGTCTCGGACTCTGATCTAGAACCACGGGCACTTCGTCGCGACCAGATGGCACGTCCAGTTCCGTGGTTTAGGAGAACGGGTCGCGTGTTTCTTCGGCTCAATCCACTTCGATACTAGGCTGATTCCGTAGGTCCGTAGGACTGTAAGGCGTGCTGACAGTCAAGTGACTGTTGAGGAGACAAGAAAAGGTCCTCGAATTTCTGCCAGGTCGGTCGATGCGTCTTGTTTCATTCCTCTTTCGGCGCTTCTAGTGCGGACTTACAAACACCGTCCATCCTTCAAAAATGGCTCAACGTCCTCTTGATGGCTCTCCGAAAAGTCTCCCTGTTTCGCAACAAGCTGAGAGCCTTAGTCGGTGTGCTCTTGTCTTTTGTCGCGGTTCTGGGGGGGAAACAGCAACTGGTTCTCCTGACCAAGTATTTGCAACTGGTCAAACCTTATCTCTACAGGTTTGGCGACAAATCGCAGTACCTTCACGAGATATTACAAGTAGTCCGAAGCGCGGATACAAACCCGCGCTTTTGGCCAAGTTGGCTGTCGTTGACGACTTCCAGCGCGTTGTAATATCTCAAGAGAGAAATAGAGGTTTGTGTCCCTCTCTGCTAATTAACAATTGCGGGCTTGCAAGGAGACAGTTGCCAACTTCAAGAGCAAAGTTCTCAAGTCAGGAATTTCACAGGTTTGTTGGTTCCTCGACTACACCTGGAAGGCTCGAACTTCGCTTGTATTTCTTGTCTTCTTGCCGCTCTGCAGAGTAGCCCGGAGATTTGGAAAGAGAGACTGAAGCGAGCGACTAGACCCGGAGTTTTCGCACGTCAGAAACGGAAACTGCGACGTCGACGGCGTTTGGGAAGTTGCCGTTTCGTGGCTGATACTGCAACTTTGATATGCGGCGCACCTTCACCAATCACACCGCAATTGCGACTACGCACGTAACAAATGCATGCCAATGACAACAACACAATACCAGCGGTCCCAGGAATTCCGGCAATATTGGAATCGGCATTCGGTTCCCTGCAGCTTGCGGGTCTCAGACCGCTTTGTTTGTAGCCACCGAAGCGAAGCGAAGCAGATTCGGTAGGCGGGCGACAATCATGAATCGCACGATATCAAATTGTGGACGACTCAACATCCAGTTCTCGGATTCTTGCAGCTTCCAGCTGGGTATGGTTTGGCGTACCTGGGTCACCAAATTGGGCAGCTTGCAAACGGACAGCAAACAATAGGCCAGTACACAGTAACTTCTCATCGGCCACCGATATCGAATACGCGCGCGCTCCTACTCGAATACCCGACTCCCGAGCTACTTGGTCTTCAGAAACAGGAAGAAAATTAACAACAAACAGCCTGGCAGCTGCAGAAGCGTGGTTGGAGTAGTGGTTAACTCGTTGCCCTCCCATCATCGGCAGAAGGCAGAAAGTAGGTCAATATCTCTCCCAAATACGGATTTCCGCTGACCAGACAGCACTGGTTCGAACCCGGTGCCGCGCATCAACCAATTTTTTTTCTTTACCAGATTCCCTTTACATTCACACTTGTTATAAATTTTCTCTTTGTCTAGAGAATATGTGTTGCATGCGCTGTCAAAGCGGGTCCTTCGCATCCTCATGAAAGAGGTGTAGGTCGAACGCATTATTTGGAATTGCTTAATGCGCCGTAGTCGGTGAGTAAATACTGGTACTAATGTCAAATACCAAAGGTTCAATTATTGACCAGATAGTCACCTCGCTTGGTTATTAGACCGAGGGCGAAACCGACTCCACGAGACTATACACCACGAAACCTATGTGAATGGAAGCTCCGGCTAGTGCTCGACCGGTGGACGATAAATTTTGGTGTCAAAGCCATAGTTGTCGTCAATTGGTCACTACAAATCGGTGACGACTATATTTTTTCTCTATACCTTACTCTGCTGCTCTATGCGTAGGGAGGTATGCGGGCGACGACGGTCCAGGCTGTTGAGCTATGGTAGATCGCGCGGTGGCGAAATGCCAAAATCGTACGATGGCGTCCAACGACCGAGCGGCCGACGGGAGCCCGTCGACTACGAAACTCGACTAGAAACCGACTTTCTACTATAAGGCGGCCTATAAACAAGTATACCAGACAGTCGGGTCCAAGAACGGTGGTTTTGGGAGCGCACTGTCGTATTTGTGGTGTATCGATGTCTAAACTTGACCAGGCGTTCAGAACCTTTCATTTTCCATCAGAGGCGCAATTGGCGTCCGCAATGGACACTCTCTGGCGTGTTATGCGACTCTGGAAGCAAGGAGGCACGCAGAGCTTTTTTGAATGCCCCTATCCGTAAGGTCGTGAGGAATTTCCATAGCTGCTCGCAGCCGGAATAGCTCAGTGCCATCAGTGGCATTTGCAAGACATTTTGGCAGCCGTGGCGCAAACCGGTTTCCCTTGATGAAAGGGCATGATGGCTTATCCTAAATATCTGTCAGTATTGTCTCACAATTAGCTTGAGGTTCGGCCCGCAGTTGGACTGACAGAGCAATAGTCTTCGCCGCAATCCCCAATCCTGCGGTCGACTTACACGCGATGCGATACGAACAATTTGCTGCTGACCAGCCAGGCAATCATCTCACGAACCCTTTGCAGAAATCCTTGGAACGATCGATTGTAAATATTTCAGGCGCGTGCGACGCGATTCCGCGATCCAGAATACCGTGGTCTTTATTTCGACAAAAGCGGAGATGCAATGCCTACTCAGAAATGGCATCCAGACGACATCCGGACAATTTTCTTTTACATGATTGAAGTGATCCCGCGTGTGCCTGGATATGCTCGACCTTGGATGGACAAAAAAGAGTTCACCTCGGTAGGCTACATCTCTTGGTGCTCATGCTGGGAATCGAACTCGAACTCGGAGCCTGTCGTCGAGTAGGCTGTGGGCGTAATTGATCGTTGACCTTGAACCACTCCGCCACCCAGCCAGTTTGACCTGACCCGTCGACCTAGACGGGCGCCTGCTGGCTGGTGACAGGAATGGGATCGAGGGGGTATATGAGGGCTTCCTGTTTATTCAGGTGGAGAGTCTGGAACAGCAATCTCGAGAGTATTCCGAAAGTGTGTATTCTGGCAGATGGGTCGCTTCACGGAGCACGCCAGCCTTGCGAGATTTGCGTTTTCTCGATGCGCCAACTGGGAATCGACGTCATACCAAGTCTTCAAATGTCTCGGTTTTGGGAGTCTCTGGAAAAGCAGAGACAAACGACAAAGGAGGGAAACACGATCCCCGGTTACGATTTGCTCTCCCGCAGGTTCTGGGACCCCGAGCATTGAGAGACTTTCACATCGAGAAAGCCAAGTTACGCCATTACGTACAGATCGCAAACGTCCCTCTAGTAGTACTGATTATATCAATCGGTGCAATGCACAAGGGACATGCGGAATAGAGCGATTCTGGGAAAATCCGGGCGTTATGCGTCTTTTCCGGGGCCGAAGCCGGTCCGCGAAGAACACAAAGAAAGGGTTTGGTGAGAGGAACAAAGGTGTGCCACTGTCATTGCTTGAAAATTTTCCTACTGATTTCTTTGTGTATTCTTCATTTTCCAAGAATGCTTTTCTCAATCCAACGCCTTTGCTTCTATGGACGCGCGAAGTCGCGACGTTAGAAGAATGAATGGTCGCCGAGCCCAAGGTGGCCACCGCTGAAGAAGATATCCATTGTCTCCAGGGAGAGCGACTCGTCAAACTCCGGGACCAGCGTCGCCCCTGTGAATGAGGACGGATTATGGTCATGTTGTCCCGGCACATTGCCCTGATGATGATGTGTCCAAGTCGGTGTTGCCGTCGCTGTTGCGGTCACGGCCGGCGGACCCCGGACATTTCCACTCCTCATAAATGACACTCCCACTTCCGGCAGCCCATGGCCGTCGCCCCCGGTAGTAGTCCCGGCTATATTACCAGCGCGGGCTTCTGTCCTCTCCGCTACTTTTTTCAAAGCCCTCTCCAGCCCGAATTGAATCGCAGACGGTGCGCTGTTCCCTCGGACGCCATTGTGCCTCTGCGCTGCGCGGAGGAGCTCCAACACCGCATCGTCACCCTCGCCTACGCCCACGCCATCACCTTCAAGTAACGGCAACCTCTGCTCGTACTTTGAGATGATGAGCATGGCATAGGCGACGCACAGGCGGTGGAACTCGGGCAGCTCCTCGGCGCGGGAGCCGGGCATGTCGACAAAGGCCCTGACGACGTCTGTCGCAAAGGCTCGCACGCGCGAATGCGTCATGTCGGGAGGGCCTTGCGGATCCGCGTTTCTATGTCGTCTGTCCGATCGTCCGTCGGCCGGAGCAAGCCTCGGTGAGCTGGACAAGGAGTCTTGGTCCGAGGTGGCTTGGTCGTGTTCGAGTGAACGCCGAGCGAGGATGAGCCACGCTATTGAGTAACTTATCCTCAATGTTGACGCGGCGGGAAGATCTGTTCATTCAATACGTCAGAATTTTCCATGATGCCCACTGGCATTATAATTGATGGATATGTCATGGTCGGCGCCTCATCTTTGAGTGTACGTCGTCGCGTCGTGGGGACCAGCTGCGTTCGGGACTTACCGAATAGGTAATTCCACCTCGTCTTCCACGCCGACAGCTCCTCGCAGGCGCCATCGCTTCCTAAGTAGGATCGTTGCGCAAACTTGTCTTGTAGGATCATGTAGAGCATGATCTCGGCGTAGACCATGGCGTCGAGCATTGTCGGCTTTTCAAAGTTGAGAAGAAGCTTGCACTGCAGGAGGTATGCGGCCGGTACGGTTGCCGGTCGACTAGTAGTCGCGGCCCAACTGCATATTGATCGGCATTAGCAAAGTTCTTAAACGTGTTGGTTGGTTCTACAATAAGTATTGTAATTTTAGTTCCAACAACGTTGGTCTTCCAATCTCGGTCTTAATTCACTCTTTTCTTTTGATAAATCAATCATCAATCATTGCAGGAGAGACTCACTGGAGATTTACCAAGCACGTGTTGGCCCAAAGTCGCATGACCCTCTGGTCCTCATCTGTCGATGTTCTTGATTTTGTCCGCGACAAGACTTCTGAGAAGTTGATGCTCAACATGGCCTGTTGCGCACAATGCCCGCTCACCAACCAGCTGTCGATATATTCCGGTCCCTGCTTTTTGTTTTGTATTAGTCAATCTGCGCTCAAGTATCTCGTTCCTCCATTCCCTCCTGTTTCCCGCGTTTATAGAACCTCAATGAGTAGGCATGGAACAACGTACCGATGGCGCTGAAGCCCACAAGGCCATGATCAAGATACCCGTCAACTCTTCCAAAGGTAACGGGCTCGCAATCATCAGCTGCCCCATCTGCAAGCGCACGTGCTCGAACACGCGGCGGTGCAGCACCGACGAGCTGTGCTCGGAAAAGCGCATCGCGTGCAGACAGCAGGCATCGTGCAAAAAGGGCGAGGCGTGCCGCAGGTCCCTGTTCTTTGGGGCGAGGTCGGCTTCGCTGTTGATCAGGAGCGTATTCTGCCTTCGACTGACGAATCTATGTAACGCGAATTGGCAAAATGTCAGCCAGTCGCCAAATACGACGGTGTAGTTGTGGCAAACATGTTGGCGTAACATGATTCGCCCGCCCGTCTTGAACATGCATAATCGTTTCTTTTTCTTTCCGAACCAAGTGCATGTCAAAAGGTACTTGAGGCATCGTTGAACAAAAGACTCACTCTGCAACCAGATCTCGAGCCGTCTTGTCGTCCAAAATGCCTGACGAGACGACATCGGCTTGAACATCAAATGTTCTTCGATAGCCTCCACTCAACTGGCTTCCAACTTTCCGGACAACCTCTGCTGGGGACAAGTAAACATGTCGGTCCCCTGGCTCAACGTCTTCGTTTCTTCCGGCCTTCTCAGAGTCATGATCGTCGACGATACTCTTTTCGGCCGGTGACTGCTGCTGCTGCTGCGGCTGATGGAGTCTCTCTTGACGCCCTGTTGCCAACGTCCGTCTCACTTCTGGCCGGCTACCCGATGCTAGCGCCTGCACCGTTGCCTTGAGGTCTACTATAGACGCTTCTAGGCTTCGGAACCTGCCGATGGAAAGTTAGTTGGTGCTTTGGTTCGTAAGTATTGCCGTATTAGGCAAATGGTATAAAACCAGTGGACAAGGGGGAAAATATCAAGTCATGGGATTCATACCTTCCCTCCACATCAAGCTTGGCTGGCGCTTCGCGTGAAGAAACTGAATGGGTATCGCCGCTGTCGTTCCATGTGCAAGTAATCCTGCATTCGTCAGCTCCTCTGAAATTTATCTTCCAATTGGTCGGATGCTCATGTTGTAAGGGGGAACCCTCGTCACAGTTGCAATGAGAAAACCCGAAGAGCTCAAGCGGCAACTTGTCAAACCAACAACAACTCAGAGCGCCGATCAGCAACTTACCTCAACGAGCGACACCTCGCGCACGCCTCGGAATCCTCGTCAAGTTCACACCGACACTTCTGCCTCCGGCACGTGTCACAGGAGAGGATCCGCCTCTTTCTCTTCCGACTCGACTCCTCCATCCCCACTACATCCCGCCGGCTGTCGTCGCTCAACCTGCGCCGTCGCACGCTTGGCGTTTCGGCTCCGGCGTGCATATCCTGCCTCGGTCCGCCTAATCGATTACCCACTCTCCAACCTTCCAGCTTTCGGGAGATGAGCCGGATGCGATATAGGTGAAAGTAAGTTGCTTCGTTCCGAGTGCAAGGAAAGAAGAAAGAAGTGTTGGTAGGTGATCGTTGGTGACCGGACGGAGCAGGAGATAGCCGGATGGCACTGGACCTTTATCTATTGGTTCCTGTGGATCCCCACATAGCGGGGCAGCGCGATTGAGGAAGGAAATAACCGGAAATCGTCGGATAGGGGATAACCTTATCTCAGCGCCTTACGTCGAGGATAAGCTTCGGCAGCATATAGGGAGTTCACTGGTGGCGGCGGTAGAACGTGGTGTTGTGTAACGTCAGCTTCAGCTATCGAAGCTTTATATATAGCAGATCATTAACCCCACTCTGACATGTCGCATTGTCGACATTGGGTGATACACATGTACCAAATCACGATATTGTTCGACTAGATATCAGCTTGATACGGACCGCTTTCCAAATCGTGCCGCTTCGGTAGTTCAGGCTGCAGATAGAGTGTTTTCCGAAATGGCCACAGCAACCGCAGTCGAAACCGTTCCCGCGGGGAAGAAGAAGGTCGTGCTCAATACTTTTGATGGGCCGACTTACAGACTGGTGTCCACGAGCCCACCTAAAGACTGCACCCTCGACGACGTGCCCATCATCGACTTGAGCGGGCTTACAGGCGACTTTGAAGACCGCAAAGCGATAGCCTGGGAAATTCTAAGTGCTGCCAAAAACAGCGGGTTCTTTTATATCAAGAACCACGGCATTCCCAAGCAAGTGATTGAAGCGGCTCATCGAAAGGGTATAGAGTAAGTACACTTGCCTACTTACCGTGCTAGTCAATCCGAACCCTACTGCAGACTATGCGGATACGTTTCCGGAGAGATCTGAGCTCATTCGAACCTAGATTCTTCAAGCTTCCCGAGAAGGAGAAGCGGAAGCTCACCTCCAACACCTCGGCCTACGGATACACCGGCTTTCGGGAGCGACAGGCCAACCCGGGCGAGACCAAAGATAGGAAGGAGGCCTTCCTCTGTCACTATGAACCCGAGTTCGATCCAATCCATGAGAATCGGCTCGACCAGGTTCCCGTTAACGTCAGAGCGCACTTACCTCAGGAGGACTTTGACTGGACTGACGATGGCGACTCTGCCGTCCTTCCGGATTTCAAGGCCACAGTGTTGGCGCACTGGCGCGAGTGTCTCGTCCTCTCCCGTCGCCTTATCCGTGTCATTGCTTTGGCCCTCGACCTGCCGGAAAATTATTTCGATTCACTCACGACATACCCCGGCGGCGACTTCGCAATAAACTTTTATCCGGGTCACGGCGACGAGCCGATCCAGGACCCGGACGAGGTCGGCGTCGGCGCGCACACGGACCTGCAAATCTTGACTCTTCTGTGGCAAGATAGCCACCGAGGACTGCAAGTGCTCAACAGTGCGGGGGAGTGGATGTGGGCGCCGCCGATCCACGGCACGTTTGTTGTCAACATTGGCGACTTCTTCATGAGAATGACAAACGATAGGCTCAAGTCGACTGTTCACCGCGTCGTGCAGCACGGCAGAGAGGACAGGATCTCCATGCCCTTCTTCTTTGGTAAGATATTCTCCTCTTTGGGCTTTCATCATGAGGTCATGGACTCTGGAGGATGATGTCCACCTTCCGGCTTCTTTCTTACTGATCGATTGTCTTGCAATAAAACAGGATTCAATTTTGACCAGGAGCTTGGCGTCCTTCCGACCTGCATTGATGAAAATAGCCCGGCAAAGTACGGACCGGTAACGTGCGGTGAGGTGAGTCTATGCACCCGATCGGCGGAATCGCTGATTAGGAAAGTGCTTTCTGACGTAGTATTGACAGCTCATCGCCAAACGTTTGGCCCTAGCAAAAGTTGAAATGCCACATAGTAGCAAGTAGGGTGCGGCTGTGGATTAGATGTGGGCGAGGATTTAGTCTTCGAATTATGAGCGGTCCAGACTTTCTAGGGGAACAAGAGGGCCTCAAACTATGATGGGGACTCTGGCAAAATGCAGCAGATGCCTAGTCAGTAGTGAAACCTAAAAAGAGCAAAGCTGGAGCCCTGATACTTTGCGCGCGGCCTGTCAACCTTTTCCTCTGATCAAGTTGAACTTACATGCAAAAGTAGTAAGGCGGACCGACCAACTGTTTGTTGGAGCTGGTTGGACGACGTCGGAGTTGTATTCGTACGCAGCCTAGGCCTCGGCTTCCCAAATCCATCGATGGATCTCCATCGTCAGGAACACCACATCTGACTTGCCAGCCCCCATGCACCCGCATGCGCCGTGACACTAAGTAGACATGGATGCGTGACGGTTCTCCACCTGACGAGAGGTACGGGGGTGACGGGCTCAATGGGTTTGGGAAGGGAAAGGAATTGCATTCCGGTATACTGTAGACGCTGGGACACTGGGCCGCTCCCGGCCATGTCTCCACAGCAGAGATGGGGGATGATAGATGTGGAATCATCGTTTCCCCAAAAGCGAGAGCTATGGTGCGATTCGCATCTTCGACCGGCCCATGATGCCTGACGGGCAGAACAGGCACACCACCGACTGGTGTTCCGCCGCATGCCACTAACACGCGTGACACTTGACTATGGCCGTAAGAAACGACCGCCAGGGGGAGGCAGTCTTGTACTAGTACATTGTCGAACTGGAGAAAGTGAGAAGTGACCAATATCGAGACAGGTGTGAACTCTAGCGGGATGAGGCGGGTCGGGTCGTTGCAACAGGCAGCCAGGGTAGTAAGTAAAACCTCCTGAAGTCTGAGGATGCAGACTTTGGCAACTGGACCGTTCGAAGCATGAGAAGTGAGACAGCCGATACACTTTGATAGGTAGTCGTTTCCCCGCGGCGACCCCGCATCATTGGAGGCTCAGAAATAGGAGGGGATTGGTGCCTGGGTACGGACACAGATAATGAAAAATATCGATCACTATCTGGCCGTATCGGGCGCGCGTTGTGGGAACTGTTCTCCTGTCGACGCGAGATATCTCCTATTTCCCGGTGTCTCGATTTGGAAGGTCGGCGTCGAAGAGCCCGTAGACAACGACGTTGGGTTTTAAAGGTAACTCTTCCGTGAAACGGGTATCGAACTCCATACCGCGAGGGCTAGACAGCATGGTGTAATACAACCATGTCGCGCAGGCAGAACTGCGCCAATCTCCGCAGGTCTTCGTTGTGACTGTACTTAGCCTTGCCATCACTTCTGGATATAATTGTCCAAGATTAGACTTTGTTCAAGGATACGAATCTGGCGTTGCACAGTCTCATGCGTTAGGAATGCAGTCTTTATCAGTCTGGTTGCGCGATGGCGAGGGCAAAAGCTGCTTCGAGGCCAGAAGAAGTAACGGTATGCCGCGCAGACGCGAGTCCACCTCAAAAGTGCCGCTCCATTAGGTACGAACGGCAAGGTGCGATCGACCGTCTCCGCGTGTTCGGACTCTTGCCAAGACATGGTGGCTTAGGCTACAGCATTCTTCCTCGGTAGGGTTCTGAAATGTATCCGTAAGGCCCGATGATGGACTCAAAGACCACGATCGATAGGATGATATGCTCGACGCACGATCCGGGGAATTAGTAGGAGATCGGTTTGGACAGGGGCTGTCATTTGCCCCCACTTCTTCCCGCTAGGAGAGAAGCCTGAAGGTGTCTATGATCCACCCGCAATGGCACGCCCGTTGTGAACCAACGGCTCGAGGCGTCCAAGCGCGTTCTGCTAATAAGACCGTCGAATCTGATTTCTGAGTCCGATGAACAGAACAGACAGGAATGCCTGCGGATACACGAGTCTTGTTAGCACAGTCAAAAGCGGTCAAACCGTGCTACAACCCATCTTACCCTACCGCCATACGTTGATCTGGCTGAGCGTGTGTCAGATTGCATTGACTTTTCTAGGGGTCTTTTGCTAGGACGTTGGGCCGGAGAAAACGGAATCCATCGATGCCCCAGTGATAGTCACTAGATAGAGCGATGGTCAGCGCTAACTAGAGCGGCATTGTCCCGACGAAGCTCAGGTGAAATAAATACAGCTGACTACCGCCGAAACAAACGGCTTCCGTCTTGGCCCCCGTCAAGGCTTTGTGTTTCAACAGGGTTGCAACCTGTTTGCTTCAGCTCAATGGCGAACATGCAGGGCGCGCCGACCACATGGAACCTATAGTCATTGGCCAGTTCGCAACATTTGACAGCGGTTCAAATCCAGGACCAAACTGAAAACAGCAGCCAATCGAGGCTGGCTACCAAGGCGCAGACGATGAGAGTTTGGAGATCAGAACAAGACGCGACCGCCCCGCGCGGAGCTGCTAATGTTACCCAGTGGCCCCAGTGCGATTCTGGCCCGTCTTCTGTTGGGTCCTTGAAAATAAGCTCGGTCAAGGACCGGGGACTCTTTGATAGGATTATCAAGCCCGGGTCTAAACGATCGGCTGAAGTACCCGTGCAATTGATGGCGACGCCTTCAGCTAGCGAGCGTGCGCTAGGACTCACAGCTATCGATAGTGGCAGAACTTCTGCTAGACATTGT